TTGAGTGATTACAACTTTTTAGGACAGGATTATCTACTTTTATAACAAAAATGTACGTAAACTTATCATATAAACAGAAATATTTTTTATTTATTTTAAATATTTTCCTTTAAAGTGTAATCATTAAAAAGAATGAAAACATCGAAACTTAAAACAATATTGTCTTGAAGAATCAATTCAAAAGTATTTAAGAATTTGAGAATGATTTGAGAAAAGAATTTATTAAGTTATTAAATAAATAATAAAAAATTATCCGAATTTAAAATAAATATGTTTACTTTAGATGCAAATTAGCAGAAATTTGATGAAAACTACACGTTTCCATGAAAATGATTAATTGGATAAGAAAACAAGTGAATGATAGATGTGATTGTTGCGATGTACATTTTTGATTGATTACTTTTTTCAACAGTCAAACACAAAATAATGCGCATTTCTGACAAGTCGTCTATCACCATTGTAAATTTTTACTGATCGAATGTTACTCAAATCACACACAAGATTGTAGTAAACCATTTAATGTTCTTCAAACAAATGTTCCCTAAGAAAATGTATCGTTTCAATTTATTTGCAGTATAAAATTGAATGGACACACTTAATTAAGCGATCTTATCACATATACCAAATGTCCTTTTTTTAATTTATTTTAAAAAATGCACAAAGCAATTTTCTTTTGATTAAACATACATTTTGTAAAATGGTATTTTATTATATAGACTATATATATTTTTTTTAAAACGAAAAACTATAAACTTATATTTTGAAACGAGCAATTATTTGTTACAATGCCAGGCCGCAATTTAATCATTTAATCATATTTTTAATTTATTCAACTTAAAATATGATAACCTCACCACTAAAGGTCATCCTGTATGCTCTGCTGCATCCGTAACAATTATCATTAACAAGCCCTCTTAGTACCCATAAGACGCTTAGACTTTTTCTAGATAGCTTGTGTGGCTTACTGAATTACTAATGTTTTTGAAGAAATTAAAGTTATAAATATTATATTCCATTTTCGCATTCATGAATGTCTCGTAAAATACGACATAGTAACTCTCCAATATCGTATACATTCCATAAACTAACGATATTTTATATACCAAATATCGATATATGTAAATAACCTTTATTTAGATTACATAAACAATGTTTATTGGAAGAATATTGCATTTAAACTTAAATTTCTTTATCAAAAATATATATCATAATTCCACAAAACTACATCATTTAAGCTTCTATTATTATTTAAATTTTATATGTTAGTAAAATGAAAATTATCAGACTTTCTTCCTGTTCGAATGCCAGGAGAGTCGGGCAAGAGTTTTTGCCAGCTTTTTTTTTTATATATATAATAAAATCACTTTTACATACGTAAAAAATTTCATTACTGTTGTGAGATTCCAGACTGAGTCCGAATCTGTTATTAATCGCGTTAAAACTATTATTAAAATAGTAAAAAAAGAAATTGTAATAAATAAATGCGACGCGAAAGTAAACAATGTGTTAAGCAATAAATCAGTGTCAGACTTCGAACTTTCATTCTGATGCTGATATACTGTACAAATGATCAAAGTTAAACTCGGCCAGGAAACAGGCAGGTTTTAAGAAAAGAAAACGTCACGTTCGGCAGTTAACATTCAAAAATGTCAGAATAGAGAACACAAAGATCAAAAATACGAGCGCAGGTTTCGAAGTTCCATCAACATCTCCCGGTCAGAGTCGAGGGATGGTGTCAGGTTGAACATCTAAGATTGATCTTTTTCGTCACCCGATCCGATCTTATTTCTACCTGAAAATAAGGAAGGAGACCAATCACGAATCGACTAGAGGGAATCGGAACCAATCGGAGAAAGAAATTCGGGGATGAAATTCCTTAAATACCCCAGATTTCAAGGATGAAGGACGGATTTCTCTCATTTTGTACTGTCCAAAGTGACCCGTTCACTCCTCTTGTCTTTGTATGCCTTCGCTCCTAACGAAGTTCCTTCGTTCCTGCGTGTGCACGCCATCATCCTCCGTCTACTGGACTATCTACAACACCGCTCCGGGACCCCAACGGCTCAACGAGATTCCAACAGTTACAAATTAGCACTGTGGACTCTATTGTTCTGGGTCAGAGAGAAGGAGAAATGCATTGTAAACTCTTCTAACATAAAATAAACAGGTTTCATTTGTAAATGTGCCTGAATCATTGTGTGTCCACCGCTACCGACATACAGTTCTAATCCCTAGTACATCCTGACGCAAATTTAACTAGCTATCCCTTTTCGGACCAGCAAACCTCACATTATTAATTCAAAGTCTGATTACTCGAGAAATTAAAACTCTAATTAATCGTTTATTTCAATCTCTTTAATTATGAACAATTTTAATCAAATTGTTGTCGAATACTTGGCACTAATTACAGAAAACTCGGTAAAATGCAAATTGGCAGTAGTGCATTTCTTATTCCCTTTGTTTTCACGAATTACATTCGCTGCTTGTTCTGTCCCTGGTTAATTCCAGCCGACCAGTGGCCGCGTGGATAAAGCCACTGAAGCCACTAGTTGATCGTGGGTTTGCGCCTCGCCAATGGCTATTCACGTGGAATTTTCCGGGTTTTCTTCACGTTAGAAACACCTAAATAGGGGCCAGTTTCCCATAAAAGACCTACCGAGATCACCCTTCACAGATAGCCCATGATCGCATTATCGTATACGAAAAATCCAAACTAAACCAAACTCTGATTAATTCCCACAAAGACGTTGTTAGAAACGAAGATCATGTGAAAAGAATCATGTGATCTTTGTTTCTGACAACCTTCGAAATCATTGTCAAAATATAGTTTATCATGTTCTGTATACCGAAAGATGACTTTTTTTCTACTAATACAAATCTTAATTTTCCATTTTATCCAGGTTAAGTTACATTCTTCGTACTTCTTCCGTTTCCGCTTTGGAGCAGTATCCGACTTATAGTAGAATTTAACATAGAAAATCTCTCAATTCCAAAATATTATTTGTTTAGGCAGGTTTCCGTTTTATTCAGGTTCTGATTTAGGTAGATGAAATATCATAAAAGTTTTATCAAAGTTCTATCACAAGTTAAATTTATTTCTGTTTCTTCAAAAAAAAATCTTCAAAATGCTCTTTCAGAAAGGATTGAGTCATCAAAGGCAGAGTATTTTTTATAGTATTAACTTATTTATAGCCGATACTAAAATGAAAAATATTGAAGCATTTAGAGATACATTTCAAAGGCAACACACCAGTCAAGTTACAATTCTTTTCCAATGTTATTATTTTCACAATTGAAATTTTTGTAATGTCCTAACTGAACTACCTTTCTTTAAGTCAATTGATATGAATGACTGTACCTTTGAAAAATATCGTTGAAATAAATTCTAGAGAGAAGTTTTCACTTCAAGAAGTATATAAGAAATATTATTCTATCAAATATTTCTAACAATAACAATCATGCTAGAAAAGAAGGTATTTATTAATTTTCTCATTTGATTACATTTTAATCGAGATGAAATGTGTTTTTATGTTTTTAATTGTGTTAAATATCTTTAAAATAACAAAAATATATTAAACTGCTATATAACTAGCATATAAAGTGTATTATATCTTATTCCAGTTCACAGCAAATAAATCACAACAATAAAATTAAGACAAGCTTTTAATTATAGAATGGTTCAAAGATTCAGAAACTATGTGTTAACAAGACTTCTTAAGAAAATCATCCTTAAATTGATAAATGAAGATAATAGTGTTTGATAATACATTACTTTATAAACATAGTTTATATAGAATACACATTTTAAACTACAGAATTGGATAACATTTCTTCCTGTACTTAAGAATGGACATATGAAGGATTTCAAACTATGAAATTTGTACTAATAAATTGCTTAATGTACAGATAAATTTGAAGTTTTAGGAGATGAAGAGGAAACCGATCCCATGGTAAAAATTTGAGAGTTAAACTGTCTTCGATTATGGTTTTTATAATTCAGATGTGAGAAATTTTATGGCATTAATAGCTAATTTAAATCAGAAAAAATAAAAATTCCTACTAGTTTCCCTATAAAGTTAATGTTTAACAACAATGATTTCTGTATTATTTCAATTGTAATGAAGAAAATGAAGACATTGCAACAAAATTCATAATTTCTTTTAATATTGACGTTTTCGAGGATTTTCCAGAGTATCGTGTCGCTCTTTATTATTATTATTTTTTTTAATATAATTTTATAATAATTCATTGTAAATCATGTTAGCTTTATGTATTATTTACAATATTTATTTTATATATTAAAATTTGTTTAAAAAATCAATAAAAGTTATAAAATAAAGTAGAGCAAATTATAAATTGTTTCAAAAATAAATAGATTGCACTTAAAAATCAATTATTCCGATACTATTTTGTCTCACGCATCTAGAATTAAAATTCGATACCTCGTAGCTCATATGATACACGATTTTCTCCATATTTTGGAATTTTTGCTATCTCCGATACAAGAAAAATGAGAAATCTCGAGAGACTGTACTCGATCTCTTCGTCCCATTGTATCATTTTATCTCCCCTTTTTTATAAGAAGCTTTGCTTCAACACAAACATTAGATTTCAGTCAGCATGTAAATGAGATGAATACAACTTTATACACACAACATGCTTTCAATATTACAATTTACATTAACAATATTAAAACTTTTGTTTATGTTCTTTACGTTTGTGTTTATTCTGTATTATTTGTGTCATGTTATTTCTGTATTTATTCTTTACATAAACGTTCGTTTAGCAAATGTTTTAAATACAATATTTTCTTTATAAAAATATTAGTTTAAAGTTTACTTTTAAAGAAAAATTTCTATTTGTGTTTACAAAAAAGCAATATAAAAAAATATAATACATTATTTTTCTAAATTGAATTCATTCGATTGTAAGATGCAGAATTTTTAAATAGTCTTATATATTAAAAATGTTATTCTCAAGAGTATTTATTAATATTTTACCTGGTAAAAAGCTCAATACTGAAGAATACGTATTCCCCACTGTGAACCATTCCCAGTTCTTCAGCTGTTAATAAAATTTCTCGTATAGCATCTGGAGAGGCGCACATCACCACAACTAAAAGAAAAGTCATTTAAATTTTATTAATAAATAAATAGCACCTATAAACAGAGAACAAAACAATTTTATAAAGAACATTTTCCCCAATTTATTTATTAATTAAAAAATAATAAGTATAATATGCTTAATAAATAGCATTTCCTTTATTATTTTTGAAAAAACTTTTAATAGAGATCAAATGTCATTTATGTCTATTTAATTTTGAATATATGGTTTAAAATTACGATTTCGTATATATTAAATAATAAATATAACAATTCAATTACTGAATATATTTGCATATAATTACACTAAATGAATTAGAAAATTTTATTATTATTTTAAAACGTTTAAACATAAAATTTGATTACAATATGAATTTAAAATATATTATTCAAATTTAATGAATTATTTTGATAATTTTCAATATATCAAGCTAATGGATGTATTTTAATTACCACATATCTTCGAGTTAAAATATAAGAAATAATCTCATAACTTAATTTAAAATATATTTCTGTTTTTTATATAGAAATTTGTTTAATTGAAAAATTAATACGTTAGACATATGTAAATTCTGTCCATTGTAAAGAGTGTCCCCTATTAAATCTATTAAAAGTCTCTATATTAAATTTGTAAGAATTACCTAATTAAAGTTATTACACATTACTTCTTAAAAAATGCAAGAATTGAATTTATTTAAATTGATTTTTAACATTTTAATTAATTTGCTTTTCAAACGAATTTGTAATGAATGTTCAATAATTGGTGCAAGAACCACTTTGGCCACACTGCAGATTCAATGAGTGATTCAACATTTGATAGAACGTATTTATTAATTAAATTTTAAACTAGATACAGTTTGTTCCTTTTCAAGAGGGAAATAGTTATTTGTGTTAACCTAATAAATGTTAAAGTTATTACAGCAAATTTAAAGACTAAATAACTTGTATGAGTTATATGAGACTCGTATCATATAAAGAATTTTGACTTAAATTCTAATTAAATATTAACTTATATTAAATTTTGTCATTCAATAAATAAATTACTTAAATTATTAAGTGATCAGCACAAAATAAGCAAATGATTCTTCAGACTTTTCGCTTTCAATCCTTACTAACAGCAATAGCAGCCATTAAGTTAATTCATTTTCAATTCAAAAACACCTATTACATTATTAAGGATTTATCCTTATAATTTTTATTATATAAGAAATACAATTTTTTACTCCAAGGAACATAAGATCTCTGAATCCTTATAACGTTCTGATCAAAGTAAGTAGTGTCTCCAATCCAATACTTATTACTTATTGCCGAAGATAATTCATTCAAAAGTAATCTCCTATCAGAACACTGAATCACATAAATATAGAAGAAACTCAATTTATTTAATTGAGTTTTAGATTGAATCGATCACATCTCTTTATTGACGTGTAACTTATTGTATATCAGTCTCTCCACACTTTGCATTCAGTTCAAATATTTTTATCCAAAAGCAACACTAATAAACAACCCTAGTTAAAAGTTGTCTGTCCAATTCTAATCCAATGGTCCAAGTAGAAATTAAAACTGTTTTACTTAAATTAACGTATTGTACAAGTATGGGAAACGTGTAACCAAGAGAATGTTTGATCAACGTATCAAATAATCTTAAATAATTATTCAACTTTTAGCTACAACTGAAATGGAAATTTAGAAAATATCATTTGCATATTAAAAACACTTTTCGTATTATTAATTATTTTAAAATGACAAAAAGCTTAATTTTGAGGGTAGAGATGAGTTTTTATTGTAAATAGTAATAATGAGTAAAATCATTAAATTTATACGAGATAGGACACATAACCTCCCTTTATCTTCGCACTCCTTAATCTTTAACCACCAAAATTTAATAGCATCAATTCCTCTAATACTCAAACCTCATCTCGTGGGTGAACAAAATCGTGCCTTCACTCCCACACATATTCTTACCTCTATGCGTACAAAAAAAAGAACCAAAAGTTTTTGTGTATTTCTCGACGTTTGCAAGGTCCTTCCAGTCCAAAAATGTAAAAAATCTTGGGGGGTTTATTTTTGACCGTTCGTTATACGTTTAATCCGTTATATATAGCAGCCGGGAAAGTAAAAACAATGCATGTGGAAAAAGTGCTATCAGTTGCTTCTTTAAATGAAGTGAAAGATTATTACTGTAATTGTTAAAAAGTATAAACCTATCTAATAGATGGTTGGTTACCTCAAGGCGAGATTAAAGGCTCGCCTTGAGGTAACCATATATTGCTTAAGCTACATATTCTATACGGTCGAACTTATTATCAAATACTAGGTATATGTTTAAGGGCAAGTGTCTTAATATAGCCACGAAACAAGCAGAAATTCCTAAGTTACTAAGTTCTGGCCATAAATGTCCTGATCTACTGAATCGAAAGCTCCTTTCAAGTCAATAAAACGTGCATATAATTTACTACGTCTTTTTTGACAAAATCAATTGAATCATGGGTTATTAATCAATATAAATAGTTATAATTAACAGCTCTACCTGTAATAAATTCTTTCTGACATGAAGATATCAACAATTAATTTCTGTAACCATATAACAATGATATTCGTTAAAATGAATGAGTAATCTTTGATTCAGTGAATGAAATCTGACAGTGATATTTCCGTCGTTCCATTCAAATAATTTTAAGGAAAGTTGGTTTCTAAAAAGAAGGAAAAATAAGATTAGATCGAAATACATTAATAATAATTACTACATCTTTAAGATTATATCCAGAAGATTTTTTTTAACCTTTAATTTCTTATTCTGTCCAAACCAGAGACTTTGCGAGATTTTAGTTTTGCCAATGCAAATTTAATTTCATTCAAGGAGATTTGTCATCTAGAATCGGATTATTATTCTCAATAATGCTATTTTCATTAATAATAGTTAAAGTGACGGAGAATAGAGCTTTAGTAGTGAACTTATAACCACTAAACTCATTAACCAACTTCCAAAAGTCTGTCGAAGTTTAACTACTCCTAATAATCTTATTCCAAAATAGTTTTCTTCTTTAACTTTATATAAAGATCTACAACGTTTGTTTAGATTGCAATAGGGCATAAGTGGTTCTCTAGACTTACCTTTTTCCTGAATTTACTCATAGCACAATTTCCAAGTTTGTTTTAATAGATAATGCTTTATAATTTGATTCTGATAATTTAAAATATCATATTAAACAAATCTATCAAAACTAAGAATAATTTTTCTCATATTAATTCTGAAATATAGTTTAAAAGCTTTACTGTGAACTAAGTGTATCTAGAACAGGAAAATTGTAGAAGTTATATAAGAAGTCCATGCTTGAAACAACTAAATATATAACAGATGCTACAAATTTAGTTGAAACCTGCAGAAAAATAAAAGTATAATTTGCATAAAAGTCTTACACGAAACATCCATTATAAAATAAATAAGCACTTTGATATTTCCTGTCTCTATCATTAACAACGAGTCATTTAAAAGTTATAAAGCTCTTTATTTGGGTCATTATAAATAGGCTTAAAAGTGTTATTACCCGTTTCATTTCCTATTGTCTTATTAACACCTTGAAATCTACGTTGCAGAAGATTGTGCGATACATTTACTCAAACGTTTTGATATCTTAAAATATCCATCATTTATAAAATCTTCCAAAAGTATATTTCTAAACAAAGTATAAATTATGAAAAAGTAGTTTGTCTTATTCTGAATACCCTCAGATTTTCAGCGTGTGACTGTTGACATTTATCTTTTGAAGCTTTATGTGTAATAGCATTGCTATTGGATAGAGAAAGTAAAATGTCATCATCGTTATGATGATCATAAAATGTTAAAGAAAAGGAAGATTCACGGAGAATTCTCCGGATAAAAATTTCTCTCCGGGCTTCTCTATTTTTACTTTTCCGGTGTTGTATATAATTGTTGTATATAACAGAGGGAAATTCTGGCAATCGGTCAAAAAAATTATCCCCCAACATTTTTACATTTTTGGACTCGAAAACTTGAAACGTTGAATAATGCAAAAAATTGGACATTTTTCTGTATGTATGGATGAAAGGCACGATTTTGTTTACCAATTTGAAGCTTAATAACTCCTGTGTCTTTTATCAAAAATTTCTGAAATTTTGCAGGAAAGTTTGTGTATTATGGGTATTGAGACCATTACGTTTTGGTGGTTAAAGGTCGAGGAGACGGGGAGATAGAGCGGGGGTCATGTTTTGTATCCGAGTTGGAACGAAATTAATGAAGATTTTATTTCTTCTTAGCATTTACAATTTTTTTTTATATTAAACTTATCTCTATCTTCAAAATTAAGCTTTTTGCCATTTTATAATAATTAATAATATAAAAACTTTTTAAAAATAAAATATTATAACAGATGGTACCACAACTCTTGCCAGAAAAGTTACGTTACTGACTTTTTGCATTGTTACTATTACTTTCGTCTATTCAATCATATAGAAAAATCCTTTAACACTATAAATTAGTTTATTCTGTTTATATTCTTCCAGAACGTTTAAGGTATGTTTATCTTAACCGTTGCATGTCTGGCGGATAATATAAACAGACCTTAAAGGTCTATTTATACTATCCGTTCAGACAAGGAGATTTACCATTGTTTGCTAGAATGCTTGCCTGAAACGATATGTGTCTGAACCTGTTGGAACAAGCACGAATTGAGATGGCCAGATAGTATGAATTACCTTCAGACAGTTTATGGCTTGCAGTGAGCAATCTCGTCTGTGCACAACGTTATTATAAAATAATAAAATAACAATAAATTCCGAAAAGTCGTGTCCTTAAAGGGTATTCTCTATCTTTCCCAATAAAACATTGAATTCTGATGCATTCTAAAAGTACTGGTAAAACTTTTCTTTGTCGTCCTCTGAAGACGGCCCAATATTCTACTCAAATCTTTTTTCTTTAACATTTCATTAACACCGTGACGAAAATGACATTTTAATTTCACGTCATCTTCACTCAATAGTAATGCTATTACA